AAAAAAAGAAAGAAAAAAAAGCAGACACTAGATTTATTTTGGCATTAGAGTAAATACGATCTTTTGCCTCCAATCTGTAACGCCTGGACTCCAGAGTCTTCTACCTTGTTCTTGTTCGATCTATTTAATACTAAATAGGTTTTATCTGGCATTTATATGTGAACAGTGGCAGGATATTTTATATGACGATAACTTGGAACACCTATGTATACATGGCGTTAAAATCCATTCTTGCCATCATGATTGTGCTCACAGGCTCATCTAATTGCATCATGAACTCAGACTGCTTTATGTGCTTTGATACTATACATTAAGTTATTTGCATCATTTCATTCTATGTTAAAGAGTGGATTATAATGAGTCCTCTGTACTGATGCTGTGTTGTGTATGGATAGAGACTGTCATCTAGTGCAGGGAAGAGGAGTTGCAATTAAAATGGACTACCAAGACCTCTTAATCTCACCTTATTCTGCTTGTTAGCAAGGTTTATCCTCAGTGTCCCCATGCCTTGCAGAACAGTCTTCATAGAGGTCAGAAGATTGTCCAGTACTGCAGGCTGAGTGAAACATGTCAAAGACATTTTGTCATTTATCTGCCACCTACAAAGTTGTTTTGGCCTTTAGGCAGGACAGATAACTCATTTTTACCTTGAAACTTATAAGCTCTTGTTTGGAGAATCCATGATTATGGATTATCTTTATCTGTTTGACAATTGTACTCTTTCCGGTCTCTGGAGCACCTGACACATACAAATCGAAGGATTAATTTAATTTTAATTTGCCAAAACTTAACCCAAAAATATATAACTGATACATATATGAATAAATACCGAGCGTAAGGATTTTGACCACATTATTCTCCATGCTGGCATGTTTGTGAAGGTCCCGTTCCATTTTAGAGCTTTGGACTTTTGCCTTTTTATGCTCCTCTGCAACATCCTTGTGAAGGCACATTCCCAGGCACAGCTAATGAGAGAGAGAGAAAAAAAACAATATGCAAATTATAACGTATAACATACACCTTTCACTTTAACACTTACATACTGTTCATACTTCATGTCTTCATTTATTCAATTTTAGATAAGAAAACTTATACTAACCAACTTTTCAACAGTCACTTTTTTTTTTTTATTTCTTTCATTTTCTTTCCTCAAATATACTATTCAAACCTTTGTGAAATAAGAAAACGGGTATTATTTTATTTCACATTATGCAAACTGATATAGTGAATAATAAACTAAAAAGAAAATCAATAATAATAATAATAATAATAAATATATCAGTTATATTTATTTCAATCAGAATACTTTATCAATCCCTCAGAAAATTATGAGGTTTACAGTTGCTCCAAGACAGTAACAGACTAAACTAATTAAGTAACAAGTTACAAAGTTAAAGAATTTACAAATTTAAGAAATAGCACTAATATATACAAATTGCTCAATTATAAATATCAAGAATATTGACAAAGAATATTACAGAGGTGGAATATATAT